TGCTAACTTGAATTACTTTCTTTGATTCTATATACAAGATTTATAGTGCTTTTTTTAAAAATTAAATATAAGGTCACACTCCTTGTTATCTCCTATTAAAATGTTCTACTTCATAATTTTCCCGTATATTGAGACATTTTAACTTTGGGCATTAAATTTTAATTATTAAATAATAGAGATATTTTCAAAAAGGTGTCACAAAACTTCTATGTAATAATTACAAATAACAAACTTATTTTGTTATTATACGCATTAGTTATAGGTAAGAAAATACTCCTTCGGTCCTTAATATAGGACCCAATTATTGAGTTGGTTTTGGTCCTAAATATAAGAACCATTTCTTATATTTATTAATTTTATCTAAATTACCCCTATGGATACTGCCTCAACCATAATCAAGTAGAAGAAGAAGATGGAGTATTAAGAAAGATGATTATAGTTTTTTAGGAAAAATGTGTCACTTTTCTTATAATTAACTAACTTACCTAACTTCCTTAATATAATCAAATTAGGTAAATGGATCTTATATTAAGGACCGGAGGAGTATTATATTTCGAAGCATTGGGTATTATTAATATCTTCTCAAATTTCTCTCTGTTTTCTTTTTTTGCCAGACTCAAAATTCTCTCTTATAGCTCTTGAACTCTCAAATTTTATTGAAAGATATTTAAGTGAAAAATCATTCAATGATCTAGGGTATCATTAAATGATTTTAGAAAATAACTTATATTTTAAACCAGAAAAACCTTCTTATAAGTGACATATATTTTAAAAACAAGAGAGTATTAATTAATCAAGAGTAAAACTTATGGCAAAAAAAGGCATAAAACTCACAAAAAATCTAACAACAAGGTTGTAAGTTGGAACCCTCAATAACAGATATAATCAGCATGTGAGTTATTGGGGGAAAAGAACTCACAGATTTATGAAGCTCTCAAAGGCTGTGTTTATTCTTCAACCTCGATGTCCCCTCCTTCCCTCTCTCTCTCTCTCTCTCTGTCCTTGTGACTTGTGAGTTGTGAGTGAATAAATTATAAAGAAGAGTTACTAATTTAGGTGATGACTGATGAGCAACATAATTAAATATGCATGTGCTTCTCTGTGTGTATTTTCTCGTACGTAGGAGTAGGGTTTTGAATTTCCAAGCCTCAAATTGATTCCACCGTAGGAACACTACCTAGTACTGCATATGAATCACTAGTAGCTTCACATGGACTACTCTTAACGTACACCCCACACACACACACAATTAAATTTTAATTTATCTTTAATTTTAATGTCTACAAAATTGAACCGACAGAAACAAAACCCGGTTGGCACTTTCATCATTCATCAGAAGACTATGTGAGATCTGAGAAAGATGCGCTCTCCGCTGGAAAAATAAGAAAGACAACGAAGTATGGAGATGACCTAAGTTCCAATATGTATATGTATATATATCTCATGTTCTGCCATTTATATATCTACATTTTCCGTTTACTTTATGAGAAAGTACTCTGTGCATGCATATATTGCAATATAGAGTATATATTTACTGTAGTTAAATTTAGTTACGGAAAGTCAATCTATTCCCGAATTTAGACATTTAAGTTTATATATTTAAATAAATTTTCTGCCACATCAAACTTTACATTTAGTTAAAGAGAAAATTACAATGCTAAGAAAGGAATTTAATTATCCTAAAATCTATCAATAAGTTCATTTCATACTTGTTGCTTGTCATTAAAATTTTTTGATAATCAATTTTGTTTTTAAACCTCATAATAATTCTATCGGTATTAAATTGTCATTTCAAGGAAAGAATACAAAAGAGAATGAAGGACGGTGGAACCTCAACGTTCTTCCCTCCAAACACCGTCCCGCGATTCCCGCTTCTCTCCCCAACACCCGTCCCGACCCAGTTTGGTAAAATTGATGGAAAAAGAATAAGTTCAAAATATCCAATATCTATTGTTCTTTCATTAATTAACAATATACTCTTATTTCTCTTTATTATTTTCAATAAATATATTTTCCCCATACAAATACGTACAATAACCAATTTCTTTTTCTTTTCTATTATTTGTACCAAATGAGTCACCCGACCCTAGCCAAGTCATCAACGTGCATAGGATGGAGTGTGTGAGTAAGGCAAGTTTGAGTTCCAATACCATCATGATGTCACTCGTTTGGGTTTAAAATTAATTTTGTTTGCATCTCCCTAATCTAGTCTCCATAAGCTATGTTTGATTATTTTGTCTCATTGTCCATCCTACCTTATTCCAATTAATAAATGAATAACTTAACAAAATAAACATACATTTTATATAAATAATAATTCATTTATAATATATTCTTTTTTTATATACATTTATAATATATTCTAATTGAATAATTTAACAGCAGCCATAGATTATACAAAATTAAACAATAGATATGTAGATTATATATGTATATCACATAAATGGACGAGATCAGAGTTGTGGGCATGACATTGTGAGGGCAGATCGACAAAACTTTGTGTAAATTTAGAACAAATACGCATGGATATTGGACAATATACATACATATGTGTTCCTATCCTTTTTTTTTTTTATCAATATTATTATAATGTTATGAGTCACCTGTGATGTGCAGAGTTTGAAAATTAATAAATAACACATTGATGATTGAACCTATCTGTAAAAGATCAATAGTATAGCAATTGCTTTTACCCAAAAATATAGTATAAATTCTTAGAATTTTAACATTGTGACATATAAACTTTGTCGTCTTCTTTTCGTGAGGCATTTCCAAATATATTATTAAAATTAATTAAAAAATTGTTAAGTCATTAACCACTCTCTCTTAGGATGAAAAAAAACATGAAATTTATCCATATATAGACTGATCCCATATATTGAAGAATAAAACAATGAAACTAGGAAAAACGGGCTTGAAAATGTTTGCTTTGAATAAGGATAAAATCAAAATTAAAATGTAATAAATAATTTTAAAAAGCAAAGGAAGTAAATTGCACTCTCTCTGTTTTCAAATATATTCCTTCACTTTTTGACCAAAAAAAAATATTCCTTCACTTGTTTTCATAAGACACTTTTAACATATCTCACTGAAATTTTTTTAAAAATATCCTTAATTCTCATTAATTTTGTCTTAAAATTTAATTATTTTCTGATTTTACTTTAGTTTAATATATACACATACTTTCTGAAAACATAACAGTCTATATGCAATAAATTAAGAATAATGAAATGAAGGGATGGACTTGTGAAGCGGAAGCGTGACAGCGCACATTCGCGTGTGGCTCCGAACCTAATCGCCTTCTTCACCAACATTCACCTCTCACTCCCCCATCTTTGTTTCACTTCATTCTGAGTAATGGTTTTATAGTAGGACTCTTTTCATAAAAAGAATTTGATCTTTTGTTTTATAAGATTTTCTAATAGTTTTAATAAACATTAAATATTTTTGTTCGTAATGTGCTCATATTTTATAAGGATAATGAGAGAGTAGAAATTGATATAATGTGAAAATTTAGTATAGTTGATATGAATAATATTGAAAATTATTTAAATTTTATGACAAACTCAATACTTTTAATTATTTTTATTAGTATGTGTGAATTAGTTAATTAGCAGTATCTTACATTGAAGAGTACTATTTATTTAGATAATTAAAGCCAACTCTCAGAATAAAGAAATGAAAAAAAAAAAGGTAACTGTGTTCCTTTTCATGTTGCATACCTCACATCTTGTATTTTTCCTATGCATGATAAATAATATACTTATTTTTATAATTTACATCTAAATATAAGGAAGATGTTTAGAAAAAAAATTGGGAAAAAATGGATAGAGCCATGAATAATGCGGATTTCTATAAATTTTATATTAATATTAATTGTGCATTTTTATATACATAATATATTGTTCTTAAACTGTTTGCTTTTAAAATTAGCCCAAAGCTCCATGTTCAAAATATTATATATCGTCTCTTCAATAATTTTCTTCCAACTAAAACCATTACTCCTTTAAAGTAATTCAAATTATGATTCCACAACGTATAATAAATGACATAATATTTAAAAAAAATTCATGTGAATCAGAGCAGATTTGTTAAAGTGGCATTTGTTTTTGTGTAACCCACAAAAAGTGGCATTATAATAAGGAATGTAAGCTGCAACCACACTCTATCGTTGAAAAATTTATATCTTTAAGCAATTGATTATGTTGCTGATATAAATCAACACTAATCGAGACAATGTTTTGAGTCAAGATCAATGGTTTAATTGTAGTTAAACTAATATGAATTCAATCATAATTAAAATAATATAGTTTAATTTAAATATAAAAAATACTCAAATATAATCCTGGAAAAAATGATATCTAAATAAAAAAAGCATTAATATCTATGTAGAAATCACCCATTATCCAACTAAAACAGAATTACTAAATTATAAACCTAACGGACTCGTACTTTTAATAACAAGAAAAAGAAAAGTATATTAAGTCTAAACCAATCAATCCTTCAAAAACTCTTGACCGAAATGGTTAAAAGGCGGATTCATTAGTTTACTAATGTGATCAAGTCACTTGAATGGGGTTTAAATAATGAGAATCAAGAGGATTTGTTATGACATAAAACAAACTAATCAAGAGACAAATAACACAATATAGAAAAAATAAAATTTAGAAAGAAAAATTAATAGTTTATTAGCGAATAAGGCGGTTTATATTTATATTCACGTGGGGCCACTGTACATGGGTGGGGGCGTCCCGGGCCATGACATGAGCCTCCATCTCCAATCTCTGAATCTCTCTCAAAATTAATAGCTAACAAGTCCTCAATTCTCTCATTAGCTGTTTCCTCTCGTATCCCAATCTATATCTCTGCCTTTTCCCAAAATCAAATAATTCACAAACCTCCATTCTTTTCGACCCCTTCTTCTCAGTTCTCACGGAGAAAAGAGAGGGATCTACGGAGGAAAAAGCTCGAAAATTTATGTGGGTGTTTCTCCGGCCACCATGTGGTTCGCCGGCGTTAGGAGAATCTCGTACCGTTTCGTGGTGGGCCTTCTGGTAATCTCCGTGCTGTTCATGTGGGTTTGCTCCCACTCCTGCCGGTTCGAGGCTGCCATTCGAATATCTTCTTCTTCCACAGTGCCGGCGAAAGCCAAGCTTAGCCATGGCGTTTTGGATAACAAGAGCAAGCAGGATCTGGTTCACAAGTACTTCAGAGGAAAAAGAGCTTTTGGTCCGCCCGCCATTAAAACGACACAGAAGGGCTTCGACGACAGTAAAAGAAGAGTCCCCAGTTGCCCAGATCCTCTCCACAATTAATTAATCTCACAAGTAGAATTCCCATCCTTCTCTATCTCCCTCTCTCTTAGTCTCCTTCACCTATCTTTCAATTTTTCGTTCTGTAATTCTTACGAAGCTCATCCAAAATACCCTCGTTTTTCTCATCATATTCTCCCTCGAAACACGTCTCATTATTGTTGATTATGAGGGAAAACCGGGGGTATTTTGGTATATGTGTAGAAAAAAACTATCTTCTTTTCATCAATGGAGGATTCATCAGAAATGGATCATCATCTTATGCTAGCTTGTGTACAGAAGCTGAGAGAGATTGAGTATTAGAGTAAATGTTGGTTTCTTATATATTGCTAGCTAGTGGCCAGAATCTCTGAGACTACTTATTTTGTAAATTTTACTAGCTTTTGACTCCGAGAACTGAGAAGGGGAAGAACAAGAATGGCAGAAGAAACATAGTTGAATATATATATATATATATATATATGTATCAGAGAGAGCAATTGTTTTTCTGCCTTGTTTTCCCAATGCAGCAATAATTATTTACTTAGCTGGCTACTTCTTCTCTCACTGTTGCTCAAGTTTTTGAATTGTTCATATCATCAAAAGTGGCAAAAGATTAAATATTTATTCTCAGACTTCATTGAACCTTCCGTGGACACTCTCTATTTCTGGGAAGTGATGATGATGATCTTTTTATATGGATTTGGTAACTTTGGGACACTGTTAGGTATTCTCCGATAAACACCTATATTCATTCTAATTCTCTCTCAATTTTTGGTTCCACCGCCATCATCATCATTACAGCAAACATATATTGGAGATTCTCTGTATTTTTCTGCACTTCAATCTCTTCAAATTGTTGACAAAGACCTATAACTCTTTTTATCCAAGGAGTGCTATTGTCCAGCAAATCTTATCCGTTGATTTTCATTGACTTTGCTCTTTTGCCCATACCATATCCGTTCCTATTTACTTGTTCCTGTTAAGAAAACATATATCAAGGAGAAAGCAAAAATCTATGTCTATTATTGGAAACAAGAGGGATGGATGAAGCACTCACTCAAGTTCTAAATATAAGAATTAGTTTATTTTGATTCTAAACTATCAATCTATTTTATTTTTCAAACATTTATAATTTTTTCCAAATTATTTATATTGATTGCACATGGCAAGAATGTCTTTATGAGGGGATAAATTTAACACGAATAATTAAAAATGATTTTTTAAGAAAAATCAGTACATATTTTCAATAATTAATTAATTTTATTAATTTTTTCAATCTCTCAAATTAGTTTTCTAGTTTTTAGAATGGAAAATGATATATTATGACTCACACCTACTAAATATGTAAATATGGTGGGATTCGAACCCACAACTACAACTCTGATGCAGTGAGGACGACACGCAATACCAATGAGTCAAAGCTTGGTTCCCATAGTTTCTTTTATCAAGGCAACTTGTTTCCAACAAAAAATTAATATGGCTTTTATTAATTTAAAAATAAAAGAATTTTGAAAAAATATTTTTAAAATTTAAAATTTTAAATCAATTTTGTTCACTATACGTTAATAACAATTGACAACATTTACTTTATAATCATTTCTAATTTTAAATTTTAAATTTGTAGAGGTTTTTTTTTTTTTTGGATTCGCCCTTTAAAAATTGAATAACGAAACATGAAAACAGAGATTAAATTTCACTTTAAAAATACTCGTCAGTATTTGAACACGCAAACATACTTTCTGGCTAGTCTCTGCATATCTTGGGTTTATAACGATCTTGGATATGCCTTACACAAAACAAAATTCATATCCTAATATAATATATATATATATATATATATATATATAAGTAGACACATTGTATTTTTCAAGTATTACACCAACTTCGGCGCAAATCAAACTATTTATATATGAATTGTCACAAATATAGCACCATTTACTATATATATTCACACATATTTTATGTTTTATATCTTAATATTGTGTATTGACTAGATGCAGGTCTCATATATAAGTTACTCATTATATTTAATTAAAATGAATGGCACTATTCATTACTAATAAATAATGTCGCTTTCGATAATATATGTTATGCATTGATATGTCAATTTATTATGTAATGCCTGTAAATGTTATTTCAATTGTCCAATGAGTCACATTTTTAAAAGCATATGTAATGCACACACGTGTAATAACTTTTGACTTTTTAGGTGTGAAATGTTGAGATAAAAGTTTGGAGGGAAAGGAAAAACAAAATCCCTGGTATGATATCCGTTTGTATTATGAAAGAAATTAAGTAATAATTAATGCATGATTAGATTCATATTTGATATTTGTAGCTTTTTTAACAGCATATTGAAAATGAAAGAGCGTTAATTATCATTGTGCCAGCGAACAACATCTAAGAACTCGTTCTTCACGAGCTTCTTGTCATATTGAATTATTGCTGACAACTGTTTTTGTGTTAAAATGCATATAACTAATTAATTACTCCTCCAATCCTTAATATAAGACTCATTTAACTAATTTGATTAGATTAAGGAAGTTAGGTAAGTTAGTTAATTATAAGAAAAGTGACACATTTTTCCTAAAACACCATAACCATCTTTCTTAATACCTCATCCCCTTCTTCTACTTGATTATGGTTGAGGGAGTATCTATAGGGGTAATTTAGAAAAAATTGATAAATATGAGAATGAGTCTTATATTTAGGACTAAAACCAACTCAAGAATTTGGTCCTATATTAAAAATAAGAGGAGTAATTAATTAATTAAACAGCCTAATCAGCTTATGTAGTCTTGTCCAGAAAAAGCACATATGACCTAGAGCAAGAAAAATGAGTTTATTATTCCTTGTACTGCATAGTATATACTAGCCAGACATTATCAAAGACTATTAATGATCCTAATATATAGGGAAGACTTTTCACGTTGGTTGTTAGACGGTAGTACATAATTTGTCCAAAATTTATGTCGGTAAAGCAAATGACGTAAGAATTAGAAAGTAATTTTTACATCGTTTTTTCATTTTTTTTATGGAATAACCAATTATATTACCCGATGTCTTTCCTGCTAATTATAAGTAACTTATAAGAAAAAAGTTTGGTCTTAAATATAAGTTATTTGAAAGGCTGTTAATAACCAATTTTCAAATTTACCCCTATGTAATTTTTTGAGAAAATTTTTTTAATAAGAATAAATTTGGAAAAGTTTATCAATTTAAGACATTTAATAACTTAGCTGTCATATTCTGTTTATATGTCAGAGTGGGTGAATTAGAATTAGAATACTCTTCCTGTCTTTAATGTAAAATCTAATTAACTAATTTGAGTAGATTAAGAATGTTAATTAAATTATTTAGTATGATATGCTTTTTCTAAAATACCATAGTTATATTTTTTAACTTTCTTCCTCTTTCTCCTATATTTGATTATTGTTGAGAAAATATTAATAAATTTAATTTGGAAAAAAAAACTTTTGGTAAAATAAAGGATTTTCTTCAAATGAAACGAGACGTAGAGAAAGAGCATATGAAAGTAAGGGAAGTAAAAGTAACAGTAGTACGTATGAATAATACAAGAGTAATATATATTTCCTCTTATTTTTAATATAAGAGCTAGTTAACTAATTTGAGTAGATTAAAAAAACTAGTTAAGTCAGTTGTTTATAATAAATAAGTATTGTCTTTCCTAAAATATCTTTGCTAATCAAGTATATTGGCTAGAATTACTATTATTAGAAGGACTACTTTGAAAAAAAATATAAATATGAGAGACAAAGTAGATTAGGATATTATATTTAGGACCAAAATAAAAGTCAAACAAGATTTTATATTAAAGAGCGGACGCAGTATGTGTGTGTATATATAAATGGTAGAGGGAGTAGAGTAATGTTAGGTGGAGTTTAGTTGCTGTATACTAGTGTATATTCGGAAAGAATAGCAGCAACCTCATTACACAGTTGTTTTGTCTCTGCTACATACAAAAGTGCGTCAAGACACACAAAAACTGCAGAATTTGTAGCCAACATAGAAAAAGTCTAACTTGGTCGATTTCAAAAGAGCAAAAATGATGACTTTTTGTTTCATCTGCATATTGCACTGAAGCTTTTTATTTGCATCTGTAAGGTCTGAGAGTAAGGAGAGAAAGAGAGAAATTAAAGGGGCTTTTGTGAAGTGTGGGAGTTATCATATTCTGGAATTTTGGGCGTTTATGATTATTATGAAGAGGGAAAGAAGAGATGAGATGGGGTTATATGTAGAGAGGGACCAGAGGGAAGAAGAGCAGACAAATCGACGTGGGACAGGGCCACGTATTATGCGGCAAAGTACAGGATTTTAATAAAAGCTAGGGGCTCTCATATTTTTGTCTGCTTCTATTTTGGATTTCGAATCAAATTTGACTCTCTTTCTCTCTCATTCTTCATCATTTTTCTTCATTTAATTCACTCCTCCAGATATTTTAAAGATCTGGGTTATATGGGCAGCCAGAAATGGTGTGGTACATAACAACAAGGGCCTCATGGATTATAGATCTGCTTTGGCATTATTTTCAATGGCTCTCTTCAGTCATGCAGATTTGAGTCGTGGAACTGGAAGTGCTTCCATCTGGGCCGATTTCAGAAGAAGATCGATGTGCTTTGAACAAATAGATGTTTAGCAGATGATTTTGGAGGAATTATTTCTGCAAAAGGGGATACAGGAAAAATGATTACAGTGCATAGCCAGACTATTTCATTGCTTAGCAGATTAGCATGCTTGAGAAGTTTTGTCACGTCAAACACAAAATAGTTTTTTTTTTTTTTGCGATTGAATCTGGGTTTTCCGTGATTCACGAACCATATTTTTGTTACAACATACGCATCTCGTGTGCATCTATTACATATTATCTTTAACATGAGAACCAGATAATTAATTTGAGAATATTAAAAAAATTAATTAAATTGGTTATTTGTCACAAATATGTGTTCCTCTTCTTAAACTATCTTTTTCCATAATTTACATTGGATGATTGAAATTATCTCTTAGAACTTCTCACGATCAATAGGGATATTTTGAAAAAAGATGAGAGACAGTGGATTGAGGTCTTATACTTATGATTAAATTCAACCCCAATTAGCTCAACTAGAGGTAGTATGTTTTAATCAGCAATTGCTTCCCATCTATCTCTCATGTGTTATGGAATGATTATGTAATTTGTTATACAAATGAAATGTAAACCAGTCCAACTAAATCATAAGATTTGTCTGATTTTATGAAATTGAATTTCTAAATTCTAAGTCGTGATCATCCTGTTCTGTGATCATGAACAAACTAAAGTATGAAGCTTTTTCTTGTTTTTTCCCCCTAAATATAATGAAGCTTCGAATAATAATAACAATAAAATGTATGAAGCTTGAAGGTTTGAGACTGATAATTGGGTTGGGTTTAGGCCAGCCAGCAAGCTATAAGATATCGGATTTTTTGAGAAGTTTGACCCCTACCTATAATTATTATTTTTTATTTTTTATTTAAATATTTAAAATTTTGAGGCTTATATTCCATTTTAATGTGTCTTATAATCGGAAAAAATTTGGAGGAAGAGTCATTTCATTTTTAGATGTAGAACAAATAGGTTCAAAAGATCCGCACACTCCTACTATCAATGCTTTGGGCCTTCTACTGGGCCACTAAGTGAGTGGGCAATCAGACCAATAATAAAGCCCACGAGATATTTAACTAAATCTAGCCCAGCAGTTTCCTGGGGGAATGGTTACCTAAAATGGGGGATTTGTAACGATTTTTTTTATCAGTATTTTTATTTTTTCAATTAATGCTTCTATTCTATTGATAAATCTTCTTTATAAGATCTGGATATTGGTTATTCATAAGTACTCGTATTAAGTATTAACCAAAAGTACTTGTCCCCATTTGCCTATTTGACCAACAAAATCAAACATCATTAATGTTTTTGATCTAAAAATAACAATAATAACGAAAAAGAAAAATAAAGAACGATGCAAGAAGAAAAAGACACCAAATTTATGACAAGAGATTAAGGGAATCTAGAGGAAAACCATAAGTAGTTTCAACCCACGGCGGCCATAAAAGAACACTTGAGTTTTCCAGTATATGAAAAGAGAACATCAAAATTAAAGAGACCTCAGAAAAACCATGGGCATCGCTTATTCATGTGCCCACCCAATCACACTCTCAAATTTTGCTTATATAGATATAAAAGAAAAACAAACAAATGGTTTGACTTTATTTGATTAAAAGAAAGAGATAATTGATTCCGGATTAAGAAATTTTTACTGGGGTCGCTTTGGGATTCTTTTCCTTTCCATGAGAATTGACCAAGTTAACCCTGGGCTCTTCTGGACGAAGACCTTGGTTGATGGCGTAATATTGTCTTGCATGGAGGGCAACGAAGAAACAAGAGAAACCGAAACGAGTCAGAGGCATTGGCGAAACAGAGACGAGTGGGAAGCCCACAAAATGGCAAAACCACAGCACCACCGAGCTGCCTTATACTTCACCTTCACCTTCACCTTTGCCTTGTTCTTCACTCACTTTGGTGCCAATAAATAGTGAACTCCAATTAATAACTCACCATCTACCTACCTACATTCATAGGTCTCAGTCCGTACTCCGTGCCCAGTAGCCACCATGAGACTCAGCTGCAACGGCTGCCGCATTCTCCGAAAAGGTTGCACCGATAACTGCACCATCCGCCCTTGCCTCCAGTGGATCCACTCTCCCGAATCTCAGGCCAACGCCACCCTCTTCCTCGCCAAATTCTACGGCCGCGCCGGCCTCCTCAACCTCCTCGACGCCGCCCCGCCCCACCTCCACCCAGGTGCCCCACTTTTTATCTCTATCTTACTTACATTTATCTCACTTGTCATCTTGATGATCTTCAATTCTGAGGTGTATTTCTTGATTTAGCTGTGTTCAAGTCGTTGCTGTACGAGTCTTGTGGGAGGATTGTGAATCCGGTGTACGGCTCGGTGGGTTTGTTCTTGACGGGGGAGTGGGATCGCTGCCAGGCTGCCGTCGATGCGGTCATGATGGGGTCGGACATCAGCGGCGGCTCCGCCGGTGGCGTGGCGGTTTCGGATTCGCATGGGGTTGATCAAGGTTTTGTCGCTGCTTGCGATATACGCCACGTGGCGAGAGAAGGGCAAGTTGTGGAGAAGGAGAACGAGAAGGAGAAAAGCGAGGCGAACAAGATGAAAGGGAGGGGGCGGTTCAAGAGGAATGGGAAGGTGATAAAGCCAAAGGCGCGAGTGGGTTGGGTGGACTCGTCGGCGCTGTGGAAGCCGGTTCAGGAAATGTCAGAGAGCGACAGCGTCTTCTCCGGGGAGACCGTCGAGGCCAGCTTGGCGAACCGGGATGGAGATCAAGATGCGGACCGAGCCGGAAAAGCTCCGCTTAATCTGAACCTGAGCCTTGGAGAATACTAGCTAAACCGTGTTTTTTTTTTTTGGAGTTCAAAGGTTTCTTTTGATAATTAGCCATGTCCTTTTAATGTTTTATAAGTGTTGTTAATTTGCTGCCCTATTTAAAAAAGGATAGGGGTGATTAGAGAGTAAAGGGAAATAAAGGGGGGTTAAGGGAGGGCAACGAATGAATCAAAGCCTCCCTTTTTGCTATAACAGCATCCTCAAATCACTTTTAAACATTAATCTCTGTCGATAAGGTTAAAATCTTTCCAACATTTAAGCATGTGGTGGTGATTAGAGAATCGCATGTGTAATTATCGGAAGATTAAGATCACAAATGTTATTTTATTTTATGTTTTTTAAAGACCGGAACATATGTTATTGAAATAGATTAGGCGAGTCTTGTGAGCTCTGCGCAAGGGTGGGAACGGATTGGGCCCGTTCCAAAGGGATACGGGCTGTATTTTTAACCCGAATGGGACGGATGGATAGTCCAAGTGACCAAGTCTCTATCCGCTATTCGTCCATGCCCGATTTTGACCGGGTAGAATCGAGCCCTCGGGCGAAGGTTGCCCCGAGTCTATTGTGAATTACTCGTATAACAAGTCTAAAGTCGTGGAGGAAATGACATTCCTCGTAATTCATATGTTAAAAATTTTATAAGTAGATATATAAATGAATGATTTATATATCTCATAAATAACATGAGATGGCGCTCATCATCTCTTAAGATACAAGTTTGACAAACTCACATTGTACTAGGGCTTTTATTTCAACTTCCCTGTTGGGACGATTAAAAGAGGATTTAAAAGGGAAAGTTAAAACAAACAAAAAATCGTGGAATCTCACATATTCGCAAGAGAATCAACAATATTTTCAGACATAACCATCTTGAACCCAGGTGAACTGAGTGTTTTGAAATTTATACGTTAATAGTCTTCCTAGATACTTGGTATTTTTAATATTCTCTCTAATAAATACTACTCCGGTCTTTAATATAGGACCCAATTGTTGAGTTAGTTTTGATCCTAAAATAAGACTCATTTATCATATTTATCAATTTTTTTTAAATTACTCCTATGGATATTCTCTCAACCATAATCAAGTAGAAAAGGAAGAAGGGGTATTAAAAAAGATTATTATGGTATTTTAGGAAAAACGTGTCACATTTCTTATAATTAACTAATTTACCTAACTTTTTTAATATAATCAAATTAGTTAAATAAGCCTTATATTAAGGACCGGAGGAGTATAATATAATCTTCTCTGGATCTTTTTGCTTAATTTCCCTTGAATTTAACTGTGTCCTTGTAGTCAAATGAAACTAAACAGTTTTCCAACTTATAGCGTGAAGTTGCATGTTGGATTCTTCCAGAGACAATGACATATTAAAATTGCGTAAATTCGTAAATGTACTATAGAGAATAGATATTTTTTTCTTCAATCTAAAGTAGATATGTATATCTGTGTGTGTGTGGCTATATGCTATTAATTAAGAGAATATGTATATAAAAAGCGAGTGTATGTGTTGGTGACGTAAGTAAATCAATGTATTGTCATCTCCTCCCAGCTTAAATCCTTGTTTAAGAACTTTTTTTATTCGGATAAAATTGGCAAGAACAGAGGTATGGAACTTGAGAACATGGGCATTGATGTGGAACACTAATAAAAATGCAACTCGATTGCAAAAACACTGAACAGGTTTCAACTATAAATAATATTATCCAATGACAACCATTTAAATAGCTTTTACAAATCTGTGTATTTTTATAAATGAAATTTCATAACATTTATAAATTAACATTATTAGATTTAAATAGGCCTTAATATCAATGACCTTGTAGTCTAGTGGCACATAATGTTAGGCCATTAATGCCAGTCCATTTGAATTAAAAAAAAAAAAAGCCCCAATTCAAGCAAAATAAATGATAGGGATTTGATTCAAAATTGACATGATGTGGGGATATAAATGCTTTTTTATTAAATTTACCATAGTAGAAAGAGAGAGAAGAGTAGATCTGAGCTATTGAAATAAAAGAACAAAAGGGGGGCTAATATGTTGCAATCAGGCATTGAAAATTGGGACAAAGGGAGTTGGATTGTAGGGGGAGGAATCCAAATGAAGAAACGTTAAGGAGAGGAAAGTAACATGCCTGGGGGAAGAGGATGAGGAAGAAGGAGGCGGAGGGAGAAAGCAGAAGATGGCACAATCTGAATAGGAAGGTTTATCTGTAAGACCATAGGGGAAGTGACCCCACCACCAAACATGGACCACCTTAATTATTGCCCATCCCTCTCCATTTGTTAACAAAATGACACTTCTCTTATTTAATACAATCCCCCACCATCACCATCACCCCCTCCCTTCACACTCTGAATGATTAATCCATACTTATCCCATAATCCTTGGAGTTTTTGATGGATTATATGAAATATTTTATTGCATAATCCCTTAATCATGTGTTTTGTATCTATTTGTTACTTCAATGGGGTGACAACACCATATATATACACACTAGTTCTCGTCCTTAATATAAAACCTAATTGATTAATTTAGAAAAATTAAGAAAGCTAGTTAAGTTAATTATTTTTAGTAAATAAATATTGTCTTTTTTAAAATGTCCTTATTAATTATGTGTGTTTGAATTATAAGTTGATAGTAACTTCTTAACATATGCACCCATTATAAGATTATTTGATAGCAAAATAAATAAATATTAAAAACAAAGTGAATTTGAGTCTTATATTCAGGACTAAATTGAAAGTTAAACTAATTCTTATATTAAGGACCGGAGATAGTATATATATAAAAATTCAGGTCATTTACCTGAAGCTGCTTATCCTTCAAACTTACTACTCTGTTTATTATGTACAAATTTTTCATTCTAAATATAAGTTCGCTCAAAGGATTATTAATAATAAGTTTCAAATTTTGTATTTATTTAATTCTCGATGGAGACAGATTAGAAAAGGTGGGATCGATTTGTACATGTAGATAGAGCCAGAAAGAAATAAAATTTTAATAAAGATAAATTTAAATTTATATTCTATATATATATAGCAAAAGGTTTTTTTTCTCGTATAATTCTAATAACTTTTTCAATCTAATCAAACTAGTTAAATATGTCTTATATTAAAAACTGAAGGAGTACTAGTTATAGAAAATATATATATATATATATATATCCATTACTGGTTAATCTACATACTCTCCGGAAACATGATATTCATCTTAAATTTGTTAATGTAGCCCAAAATAACATGATAATATCATTTGGACATGAAAAATCCAAAGTTATACCCAATTATTCTCTTCGGATAATTATCACTTTCAATATTTTTCTGAGTTCTGCAATGTAAATTGGGCTATATCTTTAATTCGCTTTCAGAAAGATTTTCTGGATCACTTTTTTTCTTTGTTTTTTCTTTAATTCCATGAACCGTGTAATCAAATAATTGTGAAGGATGTGCTTAAAAGGTTTTCAAACAAAAAGGTAGAATAGGGAAGAATTACATATTTTAATGAGTAAGATTGATTTAAAACTTAGAAAATGCAACAACACAAAAAAGGAATTAGCTAAAAAAATTACCTTCATACAAAAGGTGGTAAAATTATTTAATTTAAAAAGTTTTCTATACCAATTGTTGTTTTAACCGATGGAAAAAAAAAGGTTTTTAACGTTCACCGATTATTTACAGAATCGATATGATTAATCATATAATTTATCAATAAAAAGGTCATCGTATTCACTTTTGACACTTAGCTTATATTTCATAAATTATTGTTAAAAATTTATTTTTAAAAAATCTTGTTACCATTCCTAATAAGCAGTGAGTATCTTCTAGTGATAAATTCTTGATACACAAATAAGTGAACAGATAGTAACTAACAAGTTATTAGTTAAGACGATCTTGGAAAACCCAAATCCCAAAAAAAACAAGTGAGCAGCCGGTAAGGGCTAAGCAACTGAAAATATAATGAAAGTATGGTGATTGGTGGGACCAAACTTCACAGTTAATATTTGATTTTTTTTTTTGTCCAAAAAGGGTTTATCTTGAAAAAGGACAAAGATTACAAAAATTCAAACATATTGGACACAAGTTTTCACTATTTCATTTGATTAATTATGGGTGATACTCCACCCTAATCTTTATCCAAATCTAGACCCAACACTATCTCAAATTCTCAATCACTTTAATTAGTTTGTTTTACTGAAATCATGCATGTGGCAATTATTTGGTGAAGTCGGACAAAAAACCTTTGGACTTATTGTTCTGTTTAACTGTAGCAGCCCAGATCTGTGAAGATTCATGCTGCTTCAATTTTTTGCACATTTTAATTTAGTCATCGACTTCTGCACAAAGGACACTGCAAAATTATGAAGTACTAGTACTTTACTGTTATATCGGTTGGCTCTTTCCATGTGTGTGTGTGTATACACATACAGGCTCTTCATCTCAGTCATATATCGTCGCTGTCATGTTCAGTAGCCCAGACACAGAAAGGACTTGAAAATGAGAAGCAGCCGTGCTTGTAATAGTTCATAAAAACACTTGATCAATTAATTATTCATACTCATTAATAGTGGAACTGTACATACACATAAAGTTTGGTAGACGGTGGAATATGTAACAAAATATACATATACCAAAATTTGGTGGCAGGGGTAGCTAGTAATTAACTGCCTAGCTATGGAGAAGAAAAGGCATTAATTAATTTAATTAAAATAATTTATTTGCTGAGGAAAGGGCAGGAAGAAGGCTGTGCTGCTGCTGCTGCAACTGCAAAAGAGGCCCTCTTCACAAACCTCCCTTTCATTCTGGGTCTCTTCTCTGCATTCAATTTGCGAACCTCGTACCTTATTTTCTTTGAGAACAACCTCGTCCTCCTCTTTTCTCTGTACCTCGACACCCTAGCCTCTCTCCCTCCGTCACCCATCCCTGCTTGGCACCCGTATGTCCCCATTTCTCCATAGTAGGGTTGATGAAGCTCCATTCCACACGCCCCCTGTTTCATTTCAATCACCCCTCTATATTAGTTATCATCAATATTCCAATACAAAATCATCGTAGTATTCATTCTATTATATGCATTGTCTTTTCTAGGTTTTAAGAACTTCGAATGTAAATTTGTGCTGAGAAGGGAGATATATATATACCATGCACTCAGGCCAACACTCGTCGGCGTCCAAGTCTGGTTTGCCACCGGTCGTCCATGGAGATTTCTGGGATGTCCAAGCAGAAATGACTGCTTCGTAGTCCAACTGCAATAATATCTTCCTCTTTCTCTGATTACTATTTGCTTTGACTTCTCCTCCATCGTTTCTCATCTCATTCGCCATATCCAAAGCGACCTTCTTCTCGTCGTCTTCGTCATCCGCTTGTTCACGTGTTGCCGGAGAGTCATAATCGAAGTTCAATTCAAATGGTTCTCTGATTCCGATTTCCATCTCGTCCGTTTCAACCTTACACGGGCTCTCTTCATCTTCCACCTTCACTTTTTCACACCCTACAGAACAATCCCTCGATTCTTTCTCTTTGCTGTCAATAAGCCCCAAATCCTCCATGCCTATACATTCATTCTCTAATCCCCTGCCCAGTAAACTCTCCACATCGGCCGCGAACTGGGCAAGTTCCATTTCAGATGGAAGAAAGCCGTGTAAATTATTGTCCACCCCATTATTGCTTTTGTTTCCCGATGAGACTTTGCTTTCTGTCTGCTTCGTCTCTTTATTGTTGTCGGCCGTCTGATGGTTTGGACCGGGAGTAGCCGCTGTTGCTGCTTCAGCTGAAGTCGCCGACGATGGAGGAGTACGTAGCTCCGTGACGAACGGGTCGAATATGGGTACCCGATAAAGAAGCTGTTCTTCGTTTTCGTCGTGAGAATTGGAATATTCATCGGAACCCACCTCCGGCACAAGATGGAACGGGTTTCTGATCGGTTCGTCTCGCCTTCTGGGTGTTTGATGGGCAGCGGAAGATTGGTTCTTTCCATGTCGAGGCGTACGAGCTTTCTTGGTGATGCCTCGGTGCCACGACGGAGCCAGAGTGAGATCCGCCGTAGGTAAAACGACCACATCGGAGGAGGCGGATGAGGATTTAAACGATGCAGTCTTCAAGCGGAGCCTTTCATGGCGGCGAGCCAATGGATTGGCGGAGTGAACCAGAGAGTCGCAGGACTGGCAGAGGAAAGCATCGTCGGCAGCACAGTACCAGCGAGCGCGCTTCCTTATGCAGTTGTCGCAGGCTCGGGCGGTCTTGCCGCCGACAGCGTGGGCGGCGTTCTTAGCAGAAGTCATGAAAACAGAAGTCAGGATTTGGAGGAGTAGAGTGAAATGGGACGAAGGAAGACGAAGGTGGAGGAGGGAAGTGGGAATTATGAGAGGAAAAAGGGAAGAAGGAAGGGTGACCCACAAGAGGCGCTTTTGCAGTATAAGTAAGAGAGAGAGGGGTTGCACTTTTGGTCACAGTAAAGGTGGTCCCAGGCCTTATCTGGTTTGTGATTGGTCGAAGGGGGAAAGTTGATCCTAAACTCTGTGTTATGATTGGGTAAGTTTCTAATCACAAGGATTTCTGGTGGTGACCCACTTGGCCCCCCTTATAGCATCGCCATGGCACTCCCTTCTAGTTCTCCCCCATCTTCTAAGTTATAAACACACACACTCCTCTGCCTCTCTCCTCAAGGTCTTTAAACAACAGACTTTTGTGTAATCTAAGCTATTGGTATGCAGAAAAAATTTTAAAAAAATATCTCTTAAATTTCAAAATATTAAATTATTTTTATTTATTATTACATTTTAATAGTAATTGATTACACTTGAATAGCAAAGGACAATATGTTTTTATATAGTAACTTCTTATTTGGGATTTTAAAATTTAAAAGGGTATTTTTTTTTGGATTTTCCTTAATATATATTCTCGAATTGAAAAAGTGTTAAAACAATACAGTTAACAATGTTTTTTATCCTTGGACTACGTAAATGTACAATATTATTATTGAGCCATGTCAGTTACTAAGTTTGGTTTTATTAGCTCCTTTCAAGTTTTTTCCCAAGAAAGAGTTCAGGTGTGCTAAGGATTTGTTTGGATTAACATTGTTAAACATTACTTTTGACTTTTGCAAATTAAAATTAAGATGCAAATTAATTACTATAACATACTTTATACTTAGATAACTTTTTTCTTAAAAAAAAAAGCCAGTTTGATGCAAACTTATTCGATGATATTGAAAAATCAATTTCAAAAGTTTCAAATATGAAGAAAAGCTAGATGCCAGGAGACAGAAATCATAAAAAGTTTCAATTTTAAAATGACTTTTTGGTTAATAAGTTACCCTCAAAACCATGTCAAGTATCCATTGTTTTTTCAATTCAATTGGTTTAACTGTCAATTGACTTATGAATTCAATTTTAAAATGACTTTTGGTTAATAAGTTAATTACCCTCAAAACCATGTCAAATATCCATTATTTTTTCAATTCAATTGGTCTAACTGTCAACTGACTTATGAAGTTTTCTAATACTATTTCAAATATGAACTTTAAGTTTCAACATTCATTAGGGCATGCCACCAGAAGTTATGTAGTCATATTGAAGCTTAAAATGTTGAGAGGGGTTAATTGTGTTAGTGAATAGAATTGGGGGGTGGCGTCTCTTGGTGGCTATAAATTTGAATGAGACCCTTTTGTGTGTGTTTGTGGGAGTGACACTGATGCCTGGGGCTACACTACTCCTGACTTTTGTTATGCGGTCCCTTTCTTCATTTTATCTAATATATTCTCTCTCTTAATTTCTCCAAATGTGCAAACACCCATCACAATACGAATTTAATTATACGTTTGTTTTATAATATGGGCTCTCATTTGTGTCTGATGAAACCCGTCAAATAACTTTGAATTGATCTGTTCTGCCATAATTTCACTTTCATCTTCATGTGAGGTCATGTGGGCAAGGGAGTAGTGACCAATGAGGCTATGCCACACTCCATGGAAGCATTTGGATGATGAAAGCAAAGTTACTTGCAATTCCCCACTGCACCCTTCTCAACGTCCTTCAAGTGAGACACAAGTCACATAAAATACTACATTTTTTCACTGAAAGTTTAAACTCACAACTTCAAGTTTAAGACTTCGTTGGCTTTGCTTATTTAAATGTTTACAAGTATGTAAGTTTAGATAAAACTTCCTTCACATTGCTATGTCTTATTATTTCGTAAATTACAATTAAAAAATTCCTTATAAGATGTTTTAAGCAAGCTTTATCAGGTATCAATTGAGTTATATAAGCACCAACAGACAAAGCAACACACACAAAATCTAATTAGTCTAACCAATTCTAAATATGACACCTAGTTAGAGATTTATTTTAATTCTAAATATAAAATTTTAATTTTCTTTATTTGTCTCATTTAATATTTTTCCTCACCTTAGTTCATTAATTTCACTGTCTTTCTTTTACTCTGCTTTTTCACCATGTTAAATATCCTGGTTAAATGAGTGATATTTTAGGAAAAGTGACACGTTTGATTTTTACACAACAATGACAAATAATCAAGTTAATCAATTTATTTAATCATCATGAATTAGTTAATTAAATCTTGTATTTAGAATTAAAGAGAGGGTTGGATGAATGATTCATAACTTTCCATTATCAAGGCAGAGGTCGACCATGTAGGCCTGAATGATGGTCTTATTTCAACAACTAGCTAGCTCGCCTGGTGTTTTGCGTAGCCCTTTTTTGCGGCAATGACTAATGATGAGCACATGTATATGTCACAGTCTTGGTTTCATATGCATTATTATTATTCTAAGGAATTGTTTTCAATCATTTTCTTTTTATTTTTAAGATGTAAAGTGTAAGTATACTTAATTTGATACGTGAAGTTCCACATTAAATAGAGTCATAGTAATTGATATATAAATAAAAGAATCCACTATAACCTTGTAATCTTATGCTTTTGAAATACTAAGAGGGGATGTCAATTTTGGAGTGACGCTTCTTACTCGCTTTCCTAACTGATATTAAATAATACTCATCCGGTCCTTAATATAAGACCCATTTAACTAATTTGATTAGATTAAGGAAGTTAGGTAAGTTAGTTAATTAGAAGAAAAGTGACACATTTTCTTTAAAACACCATAACCATCTTTCTTAATACCCTATCTCCCTCTGCTACTTGATTATGGTTGAGAGAGTATCCATAGCGGTAATTTAGAGAAAATTGATAAATATGATAAATGAGTCTTATATTTAGGACCAAAACTAACTCAAGAATTGGGTCTTATATTAAGAACCGAAGGAGTATAAACAAATTAAAAAGAAATTTACCATCAATTTTGAAAAAATTTCAGTAATATGTTTTTCTTCACAAAAATAAAGAGAATCTCCATTCATCCCAATTCCCGATTTGGTCCTATTTCTTTTGCAACTCCAAGTTGTATTCATCTCCATTCATCCTTCTATCTGTGGCACCAACTGTAGAATAATATTTCACTCTCGCTTCTTTACCATTTTGATTTCTGAGTTGGGATTTAGGTTTCAAGAAGGGTACGAAAAAGTGCAAGTGTCTCAGAGATGTCATTTTTTTGTTAACGGCAAGTTGATCGGCCTAGTGACAACGTCATTACCTGACACACTTGAATGGGTCCCAAACCTAAACATAGTGTTAACATGTTTGTACGTATGTGTGTTTGTATAAAATTAAAAAGAAGAAGAAGAGCAAGCACAAGCAAAGCTTTGACTTTCTAATTTGTAGCACTTTTGAAAACAAAATGCTACCCAAGATTCAAACTTTAGTGGTGCTTATTACTTTTAGCACTAGCCAAAAACTTTATTTTTATTTAACACAATTAAACACAAGCAAGCACGTAAACATATTAACGACGGACTCAAATTCAACACCTCATCCAATTATAGTGAGTGCGTTATCGTTGGGACAACTAGTCAAAGAACATAGGTATGAATTAGTTTTTTAAAAAAAGAAAAAAAACTTTTTTCTCACTAGTTTTTAATTTAAAGATCCAATTGAGCGCTTTTTACTTGAGCTCCTGTTATGTCACCCTATGTTATAATCAGCCGACAGTGCATATGATTGCCAAACCCGTGTTTGAAAACACACATAAATATTTAATTCTTTAGCATGAAATTAAAGAACATAGGAAATAACCGTTGATATCCATGTGCAAGTTGAGACCAGTTCAAAGAGCAGCAGAGAGAAATTATGGGAGACTCACAGGTTGATGATTTAGTGGAAACAAGCTGATTACTATCCATTAGGCTGACAAATGAAAACACAGAGAAGATGATAAGGATGTTATTATGATGAAACCGATAAAATGCTGATGATGGATGAAGCAAATGGATAGCGATGATGTGGAGATTTCATGGATATGCCCTAAGTGTGGATGTAAGATTAAGAGAGGATGGAGGACTTGTCATAGAAAATGAAATACACGTGGACTTATTCCTTTCTCTGATTACGACTCCTCGTCTTCCTCTCTCTCTCTCTCCTCACATGTCACCATGGAATCTCTCTCATCTTATGCTTCATTCCCAAATCAAACCTCTCTCTCTCCACTTTTTTTTTTTTTTTTGGTTTGAAGTTTGACCTTTCATGGGAGTATGTTATACTCACGGATCTACCATTTAAATTTTAAACATGGAGTTCATCGTTGGAATATGGGTTAGTCTTGTACTCTTGTAGACTTTAATTTAACTACGTCGGTAAAGGTCAACTCACAGATATAGTCCAAATCTTTTCTGATCCAATAATGGTCTGGTTTTCTTCTTGGACGATGGGTGGGTTTGGTTGAGCTAAGATTGGGCCTATCTGTAAGGTGGGCTTTCTATCTAATGGATTCCCAAAGAGCCTACTTCCACAATTTCATTCTCGGGCCCAATTGTGAATTAAGCTTTTGTTCAAAAGAAAACTTAGTACCAATAATTGATGAGGGTTGGGTCTAGCCAGCAGAATAGATAATTCCTCACAACTTGTTTGAATTCTTATTAAAAAAAATATCCACATTCAGTGCCTGACAGTGTACATGGCAAAAAGAAAAAAGGAAGAAAACTGGTATCAATATGCTTAGGTCTAATGAAAAAAGTAATTTTTTGATGAACTAATATTCAAATCTATGTAGTCACATTCAGTGTCTGACCTTGTAACTTCAAATATGTAATACCCTTTAAACCAAGTTGTAAGTTTGAGCCTTGTAAATGAAAAGCCAAAGCTTTCTCTTGTCAATCAAAGACGAAAAACCTTATTGCAGCCCCCCCCCCAAAAAAAAAGGAAAGAGAAAAGTTTATTACACCCATTTGTTGCTTCCTTGTTGGCGTCAAATGGCAATCAGTTGCAGCAGAAAATTTTGACTTGACTTCGGCCTCCCATGCTTTTTAATAACT